AGCAGTTTTAATGGTTACATTTTTGAGTAAAGGCATTTCAGCTCACTCACTTCAATTGAGCTACAGGTGAAGCTAAGTGATCTTCTTCACTTATTCCCTGGAAGCCTTTTCACATCACCCAGACTGCCATACTGCTAAGGTCTTTTGTGGGGTAGATGTCAGACCCCTTCTCAGCCTTCTGTGTACAGTAAAAGGAGACAGATTATTGGGCATCAGTGTCCCACAGTTTTCAAATTCACCGAGCACCTTATGAAAGAGGGAATAAAAAGATATGACTCCTGCTCTGGGTAGGAGACAAAGGAGAAAGCAAAGTAAAACTGGCAGAAAAGCCAAACTCCCTGTGCTAGTGCCTGAAGAGTTTTTTTGAAGAATGTAATTTACAAGTGCTTGAAAGAAAACAACTAGTTTCGTGTCTGCTCAAGAAGCTGGAGTAATGGATTTCTAAATGAGGTTGGGGAGGTGAAATAGCAGGCTTACTCCTCTAACCTTGTCAAACTGAGCTCAAAACTATAAAGTCACAGCTCTAAGTACTAAATGGGTGACTCTCTGGAGAAAGTGTAATTGACGAAATTATGGAATGTCATGTTAGAAGACTTACTGCAAATTTTGCAAGTCTCAGGTTGCCCAAGTCATTGAAATGATGCCTCATATAGAAGCACATTCTTCTGTCCTCTATTGAAATGAAGCTTTGCAGAAGCTTAAGACATGGGGTGATTCAGTCCAGGACAATAGATACGTGACTGGTACTTTTCTGTTAGCTACTTTAATTAGGCAGCCTTCCTGAAATGAGTGCCTAAGGTCTATGTCTGGTCTGTGAAGAGAGGAAGGTCTATAAAAGGTATTCACAGGGATGTATCATCTGCTTCTGCTGTAAGGGGCCAGGCATTTCCTGTTGGGAGCTTCAGAAATGCTTTATTTTTTCCACTGAGAAAAACGAGTGTTTCCTTCACTGCTTGTACTCAGAAACAAGTCCAGAGCTTAAACTAGTGGGGGCAATGTCATGAGCATACCTATTCAAGTAAAATAGCCATTTTAATAGTCCTGTTAATCTCCATTCTTTTTTTATCTGAGCAAACCTTGGTAATAAGTCTTGCTTTGTCCCTGTAAACTGGGCAATTTACTGTCCTGATGATTATCAGTGCCAATAGATGTCCCGAGTGGCTGGGATGGAGGTAATTTTCTTCATAGGGATCCTTATATTGCTATGTTTTGGATTTTTGACCAAAGCAGTGTTGATAACACATTAGTGTTATAGCTGCTGCTGAGCAGTCACTGAACTGCATCAAGGATTTCTCTGCTTCTCACATTGCCTTGACAGTGGGCTTGTCCCTGGCTGGGGGTGCATAAGAAGCTGTAAGGAGACACAGCTGGGACAGCTGACCACAACTGACCAAAGGGATATTCCATACCATATGACATTTGGATCAGCAATAAAAGCTGTGGAAGAAAAAGAAAGGATGGATGTTGAAAGTTGTAGCATCTGTTTCCTCAAGTCACTGTAACGTGATGGACCATGGCTTTCCACGACATGGCTGAACTGATGGGAAGCTGTGAATGCATTTTTTTGTTTTGCTTTACTTGTGCACACAGCTTTGCTTTATCAATTAAACTCTTTATCTCAATGGAAGATTTTTGTCACTTTCGCTTTTCTGATTCTCTTTGTCCTGCTGCTGAAGAGTGATTAAGCATCTGCCTAGGGCTGAGCTACCTACAAGGATTATCCCATAGCAGTAGAGAAGTCCTTCAAATAGTTGTTATCTTTAAGAAAGATATATTAGAGAAAAATAATTTAAAAGAGGGTTTTAATAAGATGTACCAAATAATTTCTCTGATTTTTTGCTCTTGACAAGTGTCTATCAGGCAAGATACTATTTCCCCAAACAAAGGTGTGAATATTTGCCTATGCTGTTGTGCAAACAGAAGACTTAATGCCTATTCTGATTTTAACATGGGGTAGAACAGAAGAAAAAAAGTACCACATGATTCACAAAAGATATTTTCAGAATTCTCATTATTTATTTGGATGTAGGAACTACTGAACTAGTTCTTTGAGCAGTAAGAAGGGAACAGTTTTTAACAAAATCTGCACATACTCCTCCCACTTCTGTGAATAGTGAAGAAGTTGAAGCAATAAGCGGTTGGTGATGTAAGAGCTATCAACAGTCACATATAGGTGGAAAAACTGAAGAAAATTCTAATCTTGATAGAACATTGTCTTCCCCGTTAATGACTCCACCAACACTTCCAGACAGGTATCTCTTGAGAAATTAATGTTACTCAAATACAGAGACCTGTGGAACTAGGGAAAGCATGTCATTACATTAGGTCCAGAGAACCTGTTACAACTGTTGATGAGGCTTTTCTATTACAGAGAACTACCCTAGAGAATTAATTAGCTAGAATCCCCTATATATGAGAGAATAATAAAGTTAGTTACTTTTTAAAAGTTATTATTAAATTTGGCATCACAATCAGTTACTTAATTTTAACTGAGATTCTGAAACATTTCATACTGCATTTTGTTGCATCTTTCCTCTAATGGAATTTCTATTACAGGATCTTAGAAGTTAAAGCTAGAAAATACTTATTACATCACCTTTTCTGTCTTTTTGATTTTAGCAAACATGAGTGATGTAACTGTTCCTTTGATCACTTATTTGACTTAATCTTGAAAACTAGCTAACAGGACTTCTCCATGCTCTGTCTAATCTACTTTGCAAAGAAAAATCCCAACCTCAATCCCTGAAAAACCCTGAAAGACAGTAAAAACAATTAATAGAGCAGCTGAAAGTTCAGCCTATGTTTTAAATCAATAATTACTCTAATTTAAGTTTAATGTGCATAAGCTGTTTACATAGATAATGGTATTGCCTTCTAAGGACTGGAGGCACTCCAAGGGTCACAACAGCTTCAAACTAGAGTATCATTTTCAAATTTAAGGTTTCTTGAGTTGCAACATGCTTAAAAAATGAAATCAGTGGTCATTAAGTTTTATAAATCAGATGGATATTTTATTTAATACTATTGATATTATATGAACACTATTGATATTATATGAATATCATTGATATTATATGAATATTATTGATATTCTAGCATGCAAGGTAAAAACCAACCCTAGCTGTACATGCACAATGATGGGCTTTATTTTCATTCAGGAAAGAGATGTTGTATTCAGGATGGATAATTCCATGAAAACATCATCTCTGGGGCTGTTAAAAATAAGCAGAGTGCTAGGAATTAGTAACAAAACTCAGCAGCAAACACAAAACATGGTGCACCCATGTCTCAACAAAACAGATCTAGTCACACGTCTCAGACAGGAAATAGTAGAATAAGAAAGGTTCATAGAGAGACACAAGGTAGGTGAGTAAATAGGATAGATAAGGATAAATCATGGTCTGGGTCAGTTTCTGTATCACAGAGATTAAAATAGAGAAGACTGTGGAAGACAAAACAGGTGAAGGGAGATATGAGAGAGCTCTGTAAAATCTTGACCATCCTGGGAACGATTAGTCACTGTTCTTCACATAAGAACAAGGAAGCATCAAATGAAATTAATTTCTAGTAGGTTAACACAAATAAACGAGAGTACACAGGCCCATTGCAGAATTTATTGCTAGAGGAAACCCTGGGTGCCAAAACCTTAGATGAGTTTAGGATGTTACTTCAGAAAATGGTTTGCCAAAATAAGGAAAGAAAATTCCACCAAGGTCTATGAACAATACAAAAAGGAACTCTGGGCCAGGAAATCCCTAAGTTGCAGATTGACAGTAGTTGTGAAGTGTTTTACTGTGCGTAGTTTGAGGAGGTGCATATCTACTTGTTTTATCCTTATCTTGTGGTATCTGATAAAAGTCACTTCCTGAAACAGGATACTGAAGTAAATGAATCTCTGGACTGTAAAAGCATAGCTGATATTGTGCCCTTGTCCCAGAGCAGAAAGAAAAGTGACAAAACACCCTTTCTTTACTTCCTGTTTAATACACTTCCACCTGTTTCTCAATATGGATTGAACATATCACAAAATTACTTGGTGAAACACGAGCTCTGGCTCATCCTTGCTCCAAATACACTCTGCCTTCAGGTGAAACTGGAAATAACAGCCAAGGCAGGCCCACCCCACCACTACCTCCAGGATGTGGCAGTATCTTGGAAAAAAACCTATCCCTAGTGCATATATACTGGCATGTATTTTTAAATATACTGAAGTAAATAGCCTCAGGTTTTAGACTGGTGCCAGATGGGTGATTGAAGTGAAAATAACACAGATACACAGAGGAATGGTGACTTCAAAAAACCTGAACTGTCTGGTTAATACGATGCACAGGCTCTGAACAGTACTGCATGTCATTTACCTTATATTTCAATACCGTGTTCATAAAAATAAGAAATAAAGATCTGATACATCTCAAGACACTGAGAATTTAAAGCTATGTTTGAAACTGACTTTAAATTTGACTTTACAAGAGAACACTTGGTTGAGGAAGGGACAAACAGCTGCTAAAATTATGCCACTCCATTTAAAAGTGGAATTTAAGGCTCATGCTTTCAGATTTACAGAATTTTTATTATTACTTATATTACCTGTTATATTAGTAATATAACAGGACACCACATATTCACATTTATGACCATCTCCCTTTTATTCTCCTGAATGCAGAAAACTGCACTATCAAAAGCACAAGCAGGAAAAAAAATGTTTTGAATGCAAGCTATACAATATTCATTATTGAGTCTCTCACTCACAAATACAAGTTTTACAACTGAAATGTTCTCATTTAGTTATGGCTTAAGTAGGATAAATATAGCTTGAATTTACTATTATTTCCTCTTCCCCATCACAAGATGTCCAACCAAATCAGGGAATATTTAAATCAAATTTTAAAGTGAAAAGTTAAATTGTGTCTCCTCTCCCAGAAGTTAACATGTTCCCAGTGCTTTCCATTCTCATTGTTTACCTGTGGTGGATATGGAAGTAAATATACTACAGGACATACCATGAACAGCTGCAGCAACAGCACCAACAAAAGCAACATGTGTTGTTGGGCCTTTGGTTTCCAGGTGCTTGAGACACAGCTGATGTTCCTTCATTTTGTGACTGCTGCCTCTTTCTCATTTCAGCTACTTCAGTGCCCAAGTGGCTATAAGAACACAGACATAAGAGATGTACAGAATTACTACAGGCTGTCATAAATTGCATTCACATTTCTACAGCAACGCCTGGTGCAACTGCTTCTCCCAGCACATGGCAACAAAAGCACGTGACCGTCAACTGAGCCAGCCAAGGAGTAGTTCCTCTGTGTTAAAAGCAGTTTCCAGAAGAGCACATCTCAGTGACACACTGATGCTCCTGTGCTGCTGAATCACACCCATTCTTACTGCTTAGGCTGGAGTCAAAGAGCTGTTTATTATCAGTGTTTTTAACAGCAAGCCATACAGCTTTTGTAGCACTTGGGAGAGACTGCCTTGTTCCTTACCACAGGACTATCACAGCTGTTTCCATTGTGCTAAATATACAGCTAAAAATACAGCAGGATGGTTATTCACCTTCAACACGAGTTGGAAACTGATATTTTTAGTTTTTGACTTCTTTAGTCCATGCTGGACCAATGAAATTGATGTAAGTGATATTATATCAAGGGCAGCTGTCTGGTAAGGGCCAAGATTTTTCTATAACAGTCATAACTGAGAGGCTTGCTACTTAAGAGTTATTAATCACATATAAAATGAATAATAAATACATATTTATAAAATACTTTTCCACCTTTGAGACTATTTTCTGGTCACAGATCTTCTTTGCTCATTGCCAGTTTTTCCTAGATTTTATTAGCCAAGATTTTTTTCCTCCCAGTGACTTAAAACATGCAGCTGGAAGTAGTATACCATGCATTACCTAGTCTTCAAAAGAAGTTAAACATTTACTAATAAGTTACATTATTTAGGAAGGCTTAGATGTCAGGATCCTTCTAATGGCTCACATCTTTCTACAACAACTTTAAGTTTCCCAGAGTAATGGCTAGTACAAACATATAAATTAGAGTAAAATTTGGTACTTTTGCCTTTGCAAAAGTACTAACAGATTACTGTGGGGAGGAGCTTGGTTTAAAACAGAAGTGGGTAGAGATGGCCTGGTGTGAGCAGCATGCCCTGTGCTCCACACTCCCTGGGCATCCTGCTACAACCAGGAGGGCTGGAGAAAGGCAAAATCTGATTGATTTGCCACTTGGGCACACCATGTACACACAAATAAGAGACATGCCACTTCTACATGCACTCAAGCAGCACCTGTGAGAGTCATCATTCACATGAAACTCTAAAGCTAAAACTCCAGAGGTTTTTATTCTGCAATAGTGTCCTTCCAGACAGCTTACACACAACCACACACAGCAAGGACACTAAGCTTCAGAACTCAAACCCATGCTCTAAAACTCAAGATTGGTGGTTATTTTGGCTTCTTGCATAGCTACCTTTTCCATGCATGCTGTCATTGAGTAGAATCAAGTAATTTCTGTCGTGTTTGGTCAAATCAAACAATGAAGAACCATTTAACTATCACTGGTAGTTGCACCTGCTTATGCCATTGATATGGCTTATGGTTTATAGCTGCTCTTGACAATTAAAACCACATGCACAAAAACCCCACACCTTTTTTTTTTCATGTCAAATGCAAACATCTGGGGTTAGAAAGGGATGCTATGTTGTAACTGGATAACTGCCAATATTTTTTCAATAGACAGGAAGGAAGGGAAATTGCTGAAGCATAATATGTAGCTCAGAGAGTAAGTGACAGTATGAAGTCTTTTTCTCCAAATTATAATGCAGAACTTCTGCTGACTGTGCATGATGCATTTAAATTATTTCATAGATAGCTCTGTCATGCTGTGAATTGGTATTTTTTTCAGCAAATGCAATGACTGTGGTTAAAGGAATTAAAGCCAGATATTTTCAAATGGAATGTTTGTTTCTTTTAAGTAAGATAGTGATTCTAGAAATATTTGTACAACAAAAACACCCTAACAAAAATTTATTAGTTTCAGAAACCAGTAAGTTATCAATATTTAGGGATTTGTTGGACTGTAATCCCATTCATTCCGCCTGTGTACGTGAAGTCAAGCATTTTTTCACCATTTTAGCTATATATATATATATATATATATATATATATATATATATATATATGTAAATGTACTATGGCTAGAATATGTGGCAGTATAAATAAAGGGAACAGGATGAAGGTTATCCATTCAGACATGATAATGACTATTGGTGACTTTGCTGTAGTTTCACAAAAACTTTACCACACCACAAGATGCTGCTGCCACTAAAATAAATATCCCTCTCTCTTTTCTCCTGCACAGGTCACAGTCACTCATTCCCTCACCTGAGCTGTCCCCCTTCTCTGTGCTGGAAGCAGCATTTGTACAGGGACCTGGTGAATTTGATAAAAGAGTAGGCATGATTAAAATTTAATCTAGAGGGAAAAGAAAAAAAAATAGGTTTAACTTGCTTCAAGCGACTTTCTCTTTTACCTCAGGAAGATGTGAGCACTTGGACAGAGCAGGGGAGAACACTGAACATCAGGCAGGCAAAAACAATGTGGGGACCACTTTCCTCCATTCCTGCTCACAGTCAGCAAGTGATGGTGAAATGGGTGGGATTTTTTTTAATGCAGCTGCAGAAAGGTAAAATCTGCAGCTGCAGTTGCCAACACACAAGGCATGGCAGAGAGGAACAGTCAGAAGTGAGGTTTCACAGGAGTGGTTCACACCTTTCATCCTGACCAGCAACCTCAACCACTGAAAAGTCTCCAGCATTCATCTTTTAGTATGAACTACCATGGCCAACTGGTTCAGAGGTTTGCAAGTTTGGCAGGACACAGAAGGCTCTCCACTGTAGAGCATTTCAGGAGAAATGGCTTCCTCCAAGGTTGCTCAGAGCCAGTCTAGCCAGTCTTTTGAGCAGAACTTCTTGCTTTGCTATGTTATGACAGTTCTGGAGTATGGAGAGGCACATAACCCATCCCCTTTCTGGCCATGCATTATTTGATGAAGGAAGAGGGCAGTCCTTGATTGCAGGTAAAGTTATATTTATCTATTTAGGCTGTATTTGAAAGATAAAAAGAAACAGATAAATGAAAGAAAGAAAAGAATCATAGAGTCAGAATCAAAGAATGGGTTGGAAGAGACCTGAAAGATCATCTGGTTCCAATCTCCCTGCCATGGACAGGGACACCTTCTACTAGGCCAGGTTGCTCAGTGTCCCATCCAACATAGTTTTGAACACTGCCAGGGATGGATGGCACCCACAACTTCTCTCGGCAACTTTTTCCACTGCCTCACTTCTCTCACAGTAAAGGAAGGAAGAGAGGATGAAAGAGTGAGCAACAGCCCCAAATCCCATATGTACATCCAAGTAGATTCTGGCTCTAGCAGAATAAAGCATTAATTGCAATGCCAGTGAAGTGCTACAACAGGATACATTTTGAAATGGGTTGTAAACATGGGCATTATGTAGTGGGATTGTCCTTAGCTGCCAAATATAATGGGGAAAGATTTTACTTCCACAGTGGGAGAAAGGTGTGTTTAATCCATTTCAGATTCTCTCCTTTCCACAGCTGACATGGGTGTTCACTCTGAACCTTGCTGTGTTTCATGGCACAAAGAAAGTGATTTTGCTTGGCATGACTGGTGTTCTGCTCAATAAAACATGAGGTTGAAACTCCAGGCAATGGGACAGTGTTCTCAGTGAATAAATGAAGTTTTCACCGCCTCAACCAGTGGCTGAAGTCAAAGTCTTCAGCCTTGTTCTTCTGTTTGTGTTACTTTCTCTCAGAGAGCTTTAAGCTGAAATTTATAATTTGAAAACCCCACCCTGTGAAGCACAGCTATTACATTTACTGAGGATGTAGTTGGATGGCTGGAAACTTTAGTTTCATGCTTATTTTAGTTGGATTTCATGTTTCATGTTTTATTTGCAAATACCAGATGTCATCTACGCAAAACAGTAATTGATTCCATTAGATTATTTAGGATGCAGAAGCAGGAATATCTTAATTCTTGGCTATATTTAGAGACTGAGCAGACAGAGAGTTTATTTTTGGTGTCTTGGTCCAAGGCATAAAAAGAAATTTAGAATCTTTGATTCAGCAACTTACTCCGATGAACTGAACAATTTTTTGAAGTGTGAAAGTTAGTACATAATTATGAAGGACTAGAATGTTGTGAACTGATTCTGAGTCAATCTTCTAGGATAATATTACAAATAATACACACTGTCTCCAAGATGTCAGTTTGCCTTTTAGCTTTTTCACCATTTTCACTCTTCCTGAGACCCTCTAGCTTGGCAAAAGTACCAGGTGGTAAAGGTGGGCCTTTTGTCCAACGGAACGGTTTTTCTCCTTGGTACACTACATATGATCTCTCAGACCATCACAGGTATCAATTTCTTCTGCTGGTTTTGCATCTGGCTCTTTGCCTCCATTTGGTGTCACGGTTTACTAACTGTGTTACGATTTCTGTTTGTACTGGTAGGAAATAGGAACAGTATTCGAGCTGGCTGGACTGACTCATTCTCTTGGGGGTGGGTTGGTATTATGGCCCTTTGAGCAACCCCATAATCATGGAGGATTTCATTCTGCATAATATCTGCTGGCCCTACTCTGTAGCTGAGGAAAGGAACCCAAGGGTACAGCAACAGTTTATTATACCAGTTATGAGACAGGTAGCTATTACAAGCTGCAGAGTAAGGAAGTCTGTGCAGCCCTTCAATCTTGCAGTGCTGGAAGATTATGAATACTAAAAAAACCTTAGAAATTTGAAGTAAGGTAGCCTATTAGTTCTGGAACCAATGGCACAAGGATCTATTTCTGTGTTTAGATAGTGTAATTACCACTTAATTCCACTGGGTTCCCAGGAGTAATTATTACAGAAAACCCCTTGTGTGTAGAGCACTGTCTTGGGAAGACTGCTCAAAAGAAATAACTGATGGAAGAATTATTTGGTTTATTGCATTTATACCTGGGAAGCCCAATTGAATACAGACTACAGTCCCTTCAAATTCCACAGAGTACCTCTACAAAATGAAAATAAGGCAATTTCTCAATTGTTGCACTTCCCTGACTCTCAACCTCCTGTAGGATTTGTGCTAATTTTTAGATAGGTTTTAAAGTGTTTTCCCCAGAGATTCCCAAGGTATTGGACACAGCAAAAAACACAGGCTGCACCATTTAAATCATTTAATTTGATGCGTCTCTTCTGATGATGAGATCTTTTTTTTCTTTTTTTCCTCCCTTTCCTCAAAAGACTGTCATTGCAGTACTGCAAATTTCTGAACTTTTGGCACTGTCCCATCTGGCCCTCTTTGCTTGTTTTGGAGCCTTCCCTTGCACATGACCCCCCTGCAATATTTTCTGTCCCCCTCTTTGCATTGTGAAGGCATTCCCTATGCTATGAAATCAGAGAAAAATCTTGTAACTCCACAGGGGGTTGAGAAGATTTTCTATCCTATCTTCTGGAACCATTATCTAACAGCTATTTTGAAAGAGAGATCGTATAAGGATGAGGATAAACACATACCATTTTATACAGCAAAGAAGTGGCATTTTGTCTTTTGTTGCAGGTAGGACACATAATGGCTAAGATTTCGGGACAGAATTGGTGCAGAATCAGCCAGAGCAATCTGTCCTTTTTCAAACTTTGCAATAGGTAAGAAAGATCACCTTGCAAAAGAAAGGTGCAGACAATGACTTAAGGATATAGAGGGTGATTTACTCTGCAGGCAAGAAACTTAGCCCTTAAAATATCTCTTTTTTTGTGATCTATCACATCAGTTCTCCCGCATTGCTTTTCTTCTTTTGACTTTGAAAATAAAGGGCCAAAACCTCAACTGTGTAGTTTATATAAATTCGTACCTTATACCAGTTTATTTCAAACCGAGATGTGACTCTATCAATCTCTTAACCATACTTGTTTTCACTGTCTTTACTGGCATTCACTTGATTCCTAACAAGGATTGTCTTTAAGTTTAGGGATTTTGAACCTTTAAAACCTAGGTATTATGGTAGACAATGTCCATTTAAGACCCCATCCAGGCTTCACTGTAAGAACCAAAATGTACACTGAGGAAAGCTTTGTATCCTGTGGATTCAAGACTTCAAACCACCATTTTAGAATATATTCTATATATTTGGAAAATCTCAATGTTTATTAGAACAGAGTTACATTAACACTTTCTTGAATCTTTTTAATGAGTTATTTGGGGATAATTAGTTGGCCTTTACAAGATTTTGATTAGTTGCCTGGGTTTTAGTTTCCTAAAATAGTAAGCAGGAGAGTAAGACATAGATAACCTTGAAATACTGTTGCTTGCTTTCTTTTTTTTCAAATAGTCACTTTTTTTTTTTAGTAGTTAGTCAATTTTTAACATATAGAACACTTTTTAACTGGAAACACTAAGCAAAAACCCTCAGAGAATGCTACAATGTGACACATCTAACGATCTGTGATGTGTTATTTTTTTTTAAATGCAGTGTGATATTCTATCTGTTTTAAATCCATAGGGCTTTTTAAGAACAGGCATCCTAGAGTAACAGAACCATGAGACACAGTCTGGATACAGCTGTCAGTTAAATAATATCACTGATGCATGCGCTGCACTTGCAATGCAAAGACAGCCCTAACACAACATTGATTTTTTATTTATGCTGTCTTCATTCATCTGGAGGAGTGTTTTAAAGGTACCACAGGCTAAATGAAGACAGACCACAAGATTTTACCAGATGTCTCTGAGCTACAAAAAAAATTCCATACTCCCTTTGCAATGCTGAGTGAGCAGCAACATCAAGACAGCAGTACCACAGGCACCCTTTTGGGTGCTGCTGACCACTTAACAGCCATCATACAGCAATGGCATTCATAGCACTCACTCTGCACAGGAGTAACCTTGACATGGGTACATTCCCTATATTTAATAAATCCTGAAAGTCATTCAGTACTTAACAAATAAATTCATACAAAGTAATGGATGGAGAAGAAGAAATCTACCAGAAGAAGTGCAATTGAGTTATCTTGAACTTTTGACATCATAGTTTTTGAACACCTGTTGGCTCAGAGAACAGGTTATTGCACCTACTGACTTTTGCTTTTCAAGAACTGAGGACTTGAATGTTTACAGCAAAATATCTTCCTCTTCTATTAGTTACTGAAGCTCAACAAAAAAAATTTCAAGACACAGGACCCACTACTGCCATACAGGCATCTTTCTCCTGTCAGGTCTTCTGACCTGGAGATGTAGGACCCTTTCTAAAGTCTTTTGCAGCAAACCCTGAGAAGGTCATAAAGTGGACATTCTATCCATTATAAGATAGGATAAAAAGAAAATAAAATCTAGTGGAAAACTGGCAAAAAGTGTTCAGACATTAAATGTTTTATTTAGGGTAGAACACTCATATACAAATATTCATTTAAATTGAAACTGTGCAATTTGGCTGAACATTATGAATTCCTTGTCTTTTTTACAGTAATATTCTTTTTATGACTTTCCCAGATACCTTCTGTACTCATAAAGGATGTCTGAGATTTATTTTTATTATGTTATAGGAACTTGGTATCCTGAAGAAGCCTTGCTAAAATCTTTGCATCATCAAGTAAATATGCATTTGTGCTTCTGAATCAGACATTACTGTTCAGCAACAAGACATTAAACCTGACAGTAATGCATTATTGAAAAGTTTGAGATGGCTGCATGTGGTTTTTAAGAAGCTGCACTAAAGTTATGATTAAAAGCACTTTACAGTCTTTGGGAACATTTTATAAAAAGCAAAATATAAAACTCATCAGGAAACCTTTTATTTATTTTATTTTAAGTGCATTGTTTT